CTTCCAGTGGAAATCCGGTGAGAGGTGGCATGTTGGGTTGGTTGCTTTCCGATGCAAAAACCGCGCGCCTGTGACGGGGATCACACTCAGCACCCGAGTGGGACGGCTGAGCGAAACACACTCTGACACTTGTATTCAGTGAACTCAGTTACCACGCTGGGAAGGAAGGTGACAGAACTGCATGGTGGAGAGTCCGAAAGACTTGTAGGTGTTTTAGCAAGTTGTTGGTCAAGTCTGCAGAACGATCGGTCGGCGCGGCTCAGCTGCAAGACAAACGCGGCAAAGGGAAGGGTTTGGGGGGAAGTATCATGCAAGGACCATGAACCAAAACCGGTAAGAGTAGAGTCACAGCTTGTGAACATTACACGTCAGCAGGTACGTGGATTCTGCGTCCAGAATCCATATCAGTGACTCAAAACAGCCTCTTCGTTGGACTGCCGCTGTTAAGAGTCAGGCAGTCCCCCTGCCTGTAGAAGGAGGTTGAAAAAGGTGGTGGAAAAACCGTGGAAGGAGTAGCGGTGGAAAACCCTTTGTCCAGGGGTGGACACACACACACACACACACGCAGCCAGGCCCACACCCACACCCACACCAGCACACGCAAGCTTGCTAGTACAGGCAAAGAAAGAGTTCTGTTATAATGGAGGTCACTTAGGCTCTAGGCAGGTTGACTCGCTTTGACCAGCAGGGTTTGTGAGTTGGGTCTTTCTGAGATGCGATCGATCGAGCTGTGAGCGCCAAAGCCTGAAGAACATGTGGGGCATCGTCAGGCGCCTCCAGTTTGGTCTAGGCCCCACATACAGACAGTTCCCAGCTGGTAGTACAAGAGATTGCAAGAGGAAGAATCACTGGTGAAACTCGTTTTCTTTTTCTAAAGAAACAAGTCTCCACCGATGGAAGTTCATGAAAGCGTGCAACATTCTCTCCGATGGTCTTCCTTGATGCCACGCTCGTGTGCCAGGTGCTGCGAGCAGGCTTGACCTTGGAACTTGAAAAGGCCAAGGTGCGCGGCGAAACGAATCGGTCCAGACCGAGACCGAGACGCCTGAGCCCGCAGGCGAGTCAAGAGGAGGATCGGCGGCACATCCTCAACTGCATCGCTGGGCAGGCGACGGCCGAACGCCGAGCGAATGCCAGCAGAGTGCGTGCTTTTCTCCATGCCAGCACAACAAGCAAGTAACATTCAAACAAGAGAAGGCATGGTTTTCCATGGCAAAAGACATATCTTTACAAGTCTTTAGATCTAGAACATGTGCATCACCCCGTATACTGGTCTGCAGGATCTCCATGCTGAACCCTTGATGGAGAGCCCTAGTGGCTTGGTCCGAAGTGTGGTGAAGGCATCTGCTGTTTGCTTAGGTTTGATCAGTGGTTTGTTTGGTTAGGTATATTGCTTCTCTGTTGGTTTCATCACTCATTTCTGGTCCAAATAACTCCGAGCTAGCTCTAGCTCGAATTCCCACAAGACAGAATCAGGACAGGACATCGGCGGGTACCGCTTGCTTTGGGCGTTCAACGCCGGTGGGTTCCCTGGTGGAAGCGATGCCGAGCTGACATAACATTCCTCGATGACTCCCCAAAACAAGGGAGGTGGAATGAAAACCACCTGTTTGGTTATTTGAACAAAAGGTCATCCCAAATCGGGGCCATGCCATCCACTTTGGCATTCATTTTTTCTTTCGTGTCATCCTCCATCGTTGCCGCCAAAGAAAGAGAGGCTCCTACTGCATGGATCCCCTTCCGTCGCTGCGCCGAACCGTTTCCTGCCGAAGAAAGCGCCGACGGACCGAGGCTACACCAAGGTGAACCAGACGCTCCGGGCGATCTTCGCCGTGGCAGGAGCGGTGTGTCCAAAGGGCATCGCGACTCGAGCCTCGAGCGATCGGACGCGAACCGAACGGGGCGCTCCTGGCCTTACTAGTACAAGAAGCTACTAGTTACATGCAGGGCCATCTTTTGGGGTGAGTTTAACATCCGATTTGGGCAATGTTCTGTTCAGCATCTAGGAGAGTAGATTCTTGGGCAAACTGTACTGACTCCAACAAGAGTCACACCAACTTGAGCACCAATCCATCAGAACCGGATTTGGGTCAAAGAAGGTATTCAGGTAGACATATTCAAGATTGTTCAAACCGCGTTGTCTTTTCTCATGTGAAAATAAAGAATCACATTCTGAATTCAGATTCCAAACCTTTACAAATTCGACCCATATATCCTTAACCTAATTATGTCCAATGATATACTCTTGGAATCGGAATTAATTAGTATCCTTGATAATACTTCACTTAATTAATATGATATAATTCCAATCTCCATTAATCTCTAGCACATGCGCCGTCCCTCGCATTCCTTGCATAGCACAGGCTGGCGCCAGGCCGTCGAGCGGGACATCGTGGAGGCCGATGGTTTTTTCAGTTCGTCGTCTCCGAAAAAGGTTGCGAAAACAGAAACCAACAGGTGAAGGTTTTCCTATTGATCTTGATCTTGGATCTGATATGAGGTGAGGCTTGAACCACGAAAAGGACAACCTGAGAAAAACTGAGCGAAGCATAGCGAAGCGAACACACCCAATGGCTCAGTTCGTTCGGGACATGAGTAGTTCATTCGCCTCCACTGATGCCCACAGAGGCCTCTGATCCTTTGACAGGTGCTGAGGTTGCCGGAGACTCTGGGCGAGTCAGAGCGGGAGGAGCTGGTGCTGGATTTCACAGGCGAGCACGCATGGCAAATTTGCGGGAGCATGTGTGGAGTGCCAAGACATGCTGTTCCCAAGATGACCAAGATACATCCAAACTTTGCAGATGGGATGTGTTTCTGAAGAAAAAAGGACCATGAAACCGTCACATCCATGTGTCAGCCCAGCCACCGTCAGCTACCTCATCTGGACCCCAGGAGAGGCGGTCGCCCCGTGAGGCGGTCGCCTTCCTGCGCCGTGAGGCTCCGTGGTGCTCCACGACGCCTGCGCGGCGCCCCTCGCGGCGGCGCTGCGCGCGGCGCCGCTGCGGCAGACGCTGCGACGCTTGGAGCTCAGCGGACGGTGGTGCACCGAGATCAGCCCCTGGGCGCCACGTGCGGCGCGCGCGTGGCGCGCGGCGCGTGGGGGCTGAAAGAGGGAGCGTGAGAGGATCGGGTGGAAGATGGGGGAGCCTGATAAGATGGTTTTTAGATGGTCAAACAAAGGTGAAGGGGAGCTGAAGGGTTGCTGGATCCCTCAAGGCTTTTTGAGGCTTTGCTGCAAGGAAGGCCTTCTTGTGAAGGATATTTGCTGCCTCAGGCGAGGCAAGAGCGTTCTTTGTTGGAGGGGTGGCTTGAAAAGGGTTTGGATGGGTTTTGCGGGTTGGAGATGACTAATGACTAAAGTTTAAGCCAAGCAAGTGCAACGCAGCAAGTGATATTTGGGAGTCGTTTGTTTGTTTATGGTGTGTGACTCCTCAAACAAGCCAGATCAAGTCTTAGTTCATTAGTTCATTTTCCTAAAGTTGCCTGCTTAGGATATGCTGCCAACAGGTTTCGTTGTTTCTTTCTTCGGGACGGGGAACAAAGAAGACGGTTTCTTCTTTCTTCGCCTTCGAGGCCATCAGTTCCTGATCCACTTGGCTCCAGCCATACCCCAAGACCTCAACAGCTTGACGTTGCGCTTCGGCTTTGCAGCCAAGAACATCCACCAGGCCGTGGTTCACACCCAGTGAGGGTCGCCTGTGGACCCGGTCCACCGTTGGTGGTCGTTGGTCCGGATCATGGTGGATGCATGTGGATGACCCGATGCGAAGTGACTCAGTCTATGACTTCCAAGTCACGGAGGTGTTAGGGTTTAGGAGACGACTCGCAGGTAGGCATGCAGAATCCAGTTTCATCCGGTTTTGACCTGCTTGTCCATGCTTTGCGATAGACTCACATGGTACCACTGAAAAGGATTGAGTCGCTTCTAACTTCCAGATGCTCCCCGTTCAAAGGACGATATGGCATCGGCTTTTGTGGTCTCTAGTAGTAACAAGTGCCACGCTACTAGTAACAGGTGCCTTACTAGTAGTAACAAGGACGCTACTAGGAACA